GATCTAGTTCAGCAGACCATCATCATCTGGTGGGGTTGAAGGTCGTGGCCTCTTCATGTCTCCCTCCTCTAGTTCCTGAGGTTCTTTCCTCTTCACCTGAATATTACATAACATTGTAAATATTTTAAATACACATTTTTTACAGTACTGTATGCAGGAGCCTAATTTTGTATTATTTTAATTTAGTTGCAATGATTGTTTGAACCCCACAACAATTATTGTGTACAAAGAATGAAAATATTTTTATTATTTGAATGTACTCTTCAAATTATAAATTATACATCAGTTTTTAGTCTAGTGCCAGCAGTGAATTTATTAATTCGTCTAATCACTGCGTATCCAATACAGAGGTAGAGTCCAATTACTGTGTTATTATTGTGGGTTTACCTTAAATGAAGGCAGACGAAGCGCTCCTCTTAGAGAAAAGCCCTCCATGCCACCACTTTTCGCCCAATCCACCAAAGATGTGAGAGGCTCTCGTGGACGGTTGACCTTTTCCTCTTTCTTCTCATCCTCTCGCAGGGCAGACACCCCCCGAACCATGGTCTGGAACGGCTGGAGAGGAAAAACAAGAATAGAAGCTTATTTAACAGAGATGCCTTGCCTTCTGTTTTAAAGTATTTACTTAGAAAGCTATGGTTAACAGCGCAACCAGGATTTAACTGACCAACCTATGAAGTCAAATGACACTTAGTGGGTTGATAGACAATGATAGAAAGTAATATATGTTTTAACAATTAAAGTATTTTTTTTCTTCTTCTATACCTTGGCTTTAGTTTCTTTCCTCTCCCACCACTCATCGAATGTAGCAAAGGCGACGTTCTCCACCATCTTGCGGTTCAGGTCCCTCTGCATGATGTTCTTCATTTCCTGGATCAGAGTGGCCAGGACCACCTGCACTGCGGCCTCATTCGGACTCTCAGGCAGCAGGGGCACCTCTTCCCCTGGAGCCCTGTATTCCTCGCCTTCTCCAGATAGCATGGTGCTATAACCAGGTGGGGGAATATAGGAGGAATATTGTGGTGGTAAGACATGTGGAGGCCAGGTAGGGTGAGGAGGTGGGATGCCATGGTGGGGAGGGGGTGGTATCTGAGTGCTGTGGCCATCAGGGTAAGAATAGGACATATGAGGGGGCATGTAACGATGGTCTTGGTCATAATGACTGCCCGCCCCGCTCCCTTCTTGGTCCATGTAAGGGTGATGCGTGTGAGTCGCTGCCATTGAGTGTAGATGGTAGGAGGAGTAGTCAGCAGTGGCAGCCTCTCCGGGGCCTGGTGTGCCATTAGATGCCGACATGCGTAGCTGGTGTAGACGACTTAGCATGTGGGTCTGCATCTGAAAAGACATGGGAGCACCACCGCTGTACTGGTTCATCAGCTCCATGGAGGTGGCATAGTCATAGACATTGTGGGGGATAGGAGGAGGATACTCTGGATGGAGATCCATGTGGGGAAGGGGAGGGATTCCTGGAGGAGGTGGAGGTTGTAGAGAATAACCAGGAGGAGGAGGAGGGGGTAAATGAGGAGGGTAAGATGGCATTGGAGGGTGCATGGAGGAGCCAAAGTGCTGTGCAGAGTCAGAAAGGGGTGGTGGTGAGGATGAGGGGTCGACTGTTTGTGAAGGCAAAGCAGCCTGGGATGAAGAGGGTGAGGACCCCGAGGTGATGGTGGGTTGATGAGTTGTCACTGTTGTTATTGTGGCTTCTTCCTCCTCATCTGATATCTCCATGTCTTCTCCTGAGGAATGAGGGGAGGACTGAAAGAAAACAAGATAATCACAAGTTCAAAATGAGAAAATTCTAAAACCTAAACAGAATTACATTTAAACTGACATACAAAAATTTAAGAAAGGATTCAATAAATGGATAATATTGTAAAGTAACTAAAACTTACAGACATAAATCTAATTCCTCTGATATAGTTATATGTTCAAAATATGAACTAATAGTGAATTTATCCAATTAGCTGAACCAATTAGACTTCTGTCTTTATATCTTGACCATGGTGAAATAAAAAAGCTGTTAAGCTGTGAAAAAGTGTTAATGGTGTCCAAAACTTATATAAATTAAAACAAACAAAAGCCATAACACAAACATTTATCTGTCAGTATTTTAGCCTGTTTCTCATGCATGCAAAACTTGGAAAAAAAAACGAAAACAAAACAAGACAAAAGTCTGAGCCAAATCATAAGGCTAAATAACCGCCAGCAGGAGCAAAAACTAGATGTTTAGATAGAGATTAGTATATTATTGTTATTACCTGACTCTGTCCATTATAAGGTGGTGTGTGTGCCCCTGTCTTAGTGCGTGTATCAGCTGATCCAGCCTGTGATGAATCCTCACTTAAAGCCCCAGGTCCTTCATGGGACTGGGCCTCTTCTGGTGGAGGGATGTGTGGAGAATAGGTGGAAGAGGAAGGTGTGTTTGAGTTCAGTACTGTGGGACTTTTACTTTCCTCTGCTTCTTTACCCCTTTTCTTTCCTGTGTCTCGTTCTTCTTTCTTCCAATGGTCCTTAGCCCCACTGTCTCCGCCCTGATAACCAGCTGTGGGCTCCCCAGTCCGATTGACTCTTCGCTCTCCTCTGTCCCCATGTGAGTCTCGCCTTTTTTCCTCTTTCTTGTCCTCCTCGTCTTCCTCATCAGAGGCAAGGAAAGAAAATTTAGCCTTCTGCTCCTTCAGAAGCATCTCAATACGGGAGTCAAGACTGCTGCTGTGATAGGCAAATGGTACGCTCTCAATGGTGGAATCTGGTTCTGGTGAAGAGGAGTCACGTGGAGGGGGTTGTGGGGAATTAGAGGAAGAAGCAAGGTGATGAGGGAGTGAGGTGGAAGAAGGAGAGGCGGAGGAAGAAGTTATTGAGGGGTGGGGTGGAGAAAAAGGAGGTGGAGTCTTTGGAGGAGCTGGTGGGGTGCTGGGGCGGCGTTTGGGTTTTGTCCACTGCTCCTCTCGAACTGGGCTGTCCTGGTTGAAGTCAAGTGTTCCAAGAGTTTCAGCTACAGCAGCAGCAATGACAGAAGCTGGTGGGAGGGGCGGTGGTGGTGGTGGAGGTGCAGGCAGAGCACTGTGGTGACCACCGTGATAGTCTTTCTCAGGACCACTGGAGGACAAAGAGGTCCTCTCTGCAAAACTACTGGCTCCTTGTCGGCTGGAATTCTCCATCCCTTGAGCCGTGGCCTCTTTGGATGTCGAGTAAGAAGAGTAAGATGAGGGTGGAGGAGACATGCTGTTAGAAGAAGAGCGATAAGAGTTGGAATTGTATCTAGGGTCAGAGCTGTTGGAGAAGTCATTGTCTCTATCTCTATCCCGATCCCGCTCTCTGTCTCGATCTCTGTCTCTGTCCCGGTCATGGCTACTCCGTCTGCGACTGCTGCTGTGGTGGTGGTTGTGAGAATGGTGGTGATTGCGGTGTCTTTGGTGGCTGTGGTCACCTGACCGAGAGCCCAAACTGTCCCGCCGGTACCCCCTGTCCTCCCTGCGTTCTGAATGGTGGTGAGAGTGATGGGAGTGGTATTTTGAAGAAGAGTTTGTTTCCAGCTGGTGTTGGTAGGATGACCTTCTGGAACCAATACCTCCTGTCCCATAACGCCCACCTGAGTCTCTGTCTCGGTCCCTGTCTGACATTGTGGGCTGATCATATTGGCTTGCAGGTGGTGGGGGCATTGAAGAATGGAGCCCCATGTGTGGACCAGGTCCTCCCATGTTTGGGTATGGGGGATAGCATGGTGGCTCATTGGGACGGTACGATGAGGTTGGGGGATACATGGGTCGACCGCGATGATACACTGTAGACTCCTGTGCATCCTCAGGGTAGCGAGACATTTTGTATCCTCCGACAGTAGATGAGACTGCAGAAGACGAGGAGGAGGATGGTAACATGTCTTGGGGAGGGTAGCCGCTGCCTGAAGTGCCAGCGCTGTAGCCAGTATTTCTGCAAGGTACAAATTAGAAAGGCTTTAAACAATTCTCTAGCATTATTGCTAATTATAAAGACTGTAATAAAAAAATGTTCTAACAACCTACATCCATCAATGCTACTTGTCAAATAAAGTTAGTGAAGCAGAGTGAAAGGAGAATGAGCAGGTTGATTTTAAACAGAGCAAAGAACAATTCTTTTGTAAAGAATGTCCAGTTCTGAAACCTGGTTTACTACAGCTCATTTTCATTTCATGTCTATGCTGTACTCCACTCTGCTCACACATTCTGCTACAATTTTACAACAGTTTATTATTTCTCTTATCAAGATTACTAGGAAATATTTAACAATGATACCATTACTAACCTGCCACCTGCGTAACCGGAGTCTTGTGAGAACGGAGTTCCAGATCTTGAACTGTAAGGAGTTCCCCCACCACTCTGCACTGAAGCTGTGGAGCCTGGGGTGTATGGACCTGACATGTTGGGTGGGGGTGTGTCCAGACGTTGGTCAGTGAAGCCAGTGTCAACAGAGCAAGGAGTAATGTTCCCCGATGTGAGGACTTGAACCCCTGCTGCCAAAACGGCAAGCTCACTTGAGAGCCTCCGCCTGATTTCTGTCGACTGTGCCCAGAGAGGCAAAATAGGTTAAAAGATAGTCTATTATTTATTAGTAAGAACTGAACTAAAAAAGTGGACACATAGGCTAATAACTCAGTATCTTTGTAGAGAAGAGGTGATTGTTTATTGGCAAAGGTAAGACTTATTAAATACCGTGTCAGGCTGTGGTTGTGTTGGAGCCGGGGTCTGCAGCTTGTCTGTCAAAGCTTTGCCTCCCAGGGGCACAGTCTGAGGAGTGTAAGACCCATTTACTATTAGGTCATAATACTTCTGCCTTTGCTGCCCTGGACGAAACACAAATGTCAGAGACTGTTAAGTAAAGACTGAAAAATTGATTTTAAACACAAATAAACCATGTTTTATATATTTATATCGATCCCAAATTCTAACAAATATATATATATATATATTTTTTTTTTTTTAATGTTTGCATAGTTGGTCATTTGTTCTGTGAATTACTAATACATTTAGGCTTACCCTTTATATCCAGTTGGGCATGAATGACGGTACCCATGACAGAGGTGTTATGTAGATGCTTGACCGTATCCTTGGCTCCCCTGGTGCTGGTAAACAACACCCTGGCCAGACCCAAGTGCTTCCTGGTCTTGGGGTGAAACAGAATCTCCATCTCCTCGACTTCCCCAAACTTGGCACACATGTCACCCAGGAAAGGCTCCTTTATGTTGTCATTTAGTCTGGCAAAGGTCACCTCTTTAAGAGGTATGGGACCCACATAAAACTCATCAAGCTGTAAAACAATAATAACATGATTAAAGAACATCTTACTTGGTATCATAAAATGAAAATTTGAGTTGAGTTTAATTATGACTCGCTATTCTCACCTTAAACTTTGGCACTGGCAGGGACAGTTCTGTATATCTGGACCACAGCCTCCTGGGTCTTGGGTCACGTAGTTCACCCACTGGAGGAAATCCAGAGTCCTAGAGACAGAGGACAAGTTAAAGCATAAAGCAACTAATTTACATAATTAAAGCAGTTGCAACAAGTACGACATGAAAATCTACTTACTGGCACACTGAAATGCACACCATCATATCTGTAGATTTTCTGTGCAACCCGCCTGATAGCAGGATCCTGGACAAGTTTGTAGCTTTTCCACTGCAAACTGAAAGCTTTTGCTTCTGCCCCACCGTCTGGATCCATCCTATAACTGAGAGTACAATTGAAACAATAGTTTAATAACATGACAACAATAGCTCTCAATATAAGTATAATTAATTTTGATGTTGAATAAGAAGAGAAATAGTACTGAATACGTAACCAACACAGTAAACGCAGTAAACATAGTACCTATAACTAGTTGCAAATAAACATATTTACAGTGGATATTCATAAAGCTATTACTTAGCTATTTAACAGTACTAGTGAAAAACGACGACTATTAATCTAAAATGTTAATGAATACATATAATAACTATATAAGCAGAATTTAGTAGGTAATTGCTAAAGTTAGATAGCACTTACAAGTATTGATAACATAAATTAAACAGAAGCAACATGTAAGATTGGTTAAAATAACATAAATCAATCTGCTAGAAACATAATATAAAGCATAACTTTGCTAAATAAATCACGAGTTTTGCTATTTGACTACGAAGGTGTCTGCCGCCATATTTTACCAGTTATCACAACTTTAACTCAGAAACACTAATAAATATCAGATTTACACTAATCTGATATTTATTACTAATGTAATTAATAGCGGTTGGTGTTTAAAGTGTTTATAGCAATCACTTAATTTTTCAAGACTCTGCTGAGATGCTGCGTGCTGTCAAAACAATGACCAGTGTTACGTCACTGGCAAGCTCGTTCAGCTAGCAACCCTGCTGTTAGCATACAAGCACACAGGCACAACATAATTGAAAGAAAACACTAACAGTCCCCTGTTTGACTTTGGCTCTTAATGCATATAAATTCGTGCGTCGATTTGTTGCTTGAACAGTTATATCAACGGTTTCCATGTTAGTAGCAATTATAAATCCTTATTTACTTATTACAGCTCGTTTAACCCACAGCAAGTGTACCCTATCTACGGCTAATGCTAACTAGCAAGAACATGAACATAGGAAACAAACTCTACATTTAATCGATACATTGTCTAAAAGAACAGTATTTAAGAAGCGCTAGTGGTATTATGGGTCTCTCTTTGTAGATCTATGGACTTGTTTTACCTTGAATTTGCTTAATTTGAGACCCCACCTCTTCAAGAGCTAGTGCCCGCTCATCCGAAAGTAGCGACCCGCCGCCCCAGTGTAGGCAGAGGCAGCCAGGCCCGGGAGACGAATAAGAAAAACACTGAGCTTCTAACGCACCCGGGACATCTCCAACACGCCGTTAAAACAAAACTGAGTAACTACACTGGTCCCGCCAACATTCCGGTAATCAGTAAAGACAAATGTACGAGTCTCGGACGAATGAAGCCATTGTTTTTGCGTTAAAACCTAAACAGAGATGAGTGTGCGGCCACCGTATAACCAACCTGAAAGCCTCGCCTGTTCGCCATCAGTTCAAGTAAATGCAACCTACGATTTCTGAGCGGTACTTTCCTACAGAAAATCTGTACTTTAAAAGTATATATAAATGCAAAACACTTTATATTTTTCTATTTAAAATTTGAATACCATATAATTTATTGTAACAACACCAATTCAATTTATTTGCGTTCAACATTAATAAAATAAGATAATATAGATGGAATCTGCTCATGCAAATCAAAGCCAAGGAAAAACTCCCATCGCCACCTACAGGCCGACTGTAAAAGTGACACGTTTTGTCAATGCAAATACTGATCGAACATCTATTATTTTTGTTTAATTAAAGTAAATTGGTAAATATATTAATATGTAAATATTCTTTGCATATTTAAAAGCAACGGTGGTTTACAAACCCCTTTTCTGCGACCTTCAACGCCAAATGGGCCACTTTAACCATTTTTCCACCAAATAAAACCACTAAGAGCTGCAAAAAATAAACTGCAGCAGTATTACAGGACGGAGTACCAAAAGAAGCAAATTAAAATATTCACAATGTACATGGGAAAACCTGAAAAATACACTAATTATATACACTTATGGTGTTAATGTATAATGTATTATCTTCTTTTTCTTTCGACTTTGTCCCTTTTTTCAGGGCTTAAATTTATTATATAATTACAAAAATAAAAAGAACTAAGAAGTCTATAAAGACAGCAAAAGTTAAGTAGTTTTAAATGTTTTGACCAACCAAAACTAAACTACATTAAATAAAAACTAGGCAAAATAAATTAACGAGACCAGCCCCAAAATAACAAAAATTAGTCCAAGATAACTTTTATATAAAATGCACATTTTAGACAAGGCACAACTAAGAGTTTGTCTCCAAACAAATTAAAATACTGAAACTTACAATTAATAAAATAGCAATAATTATGAACATATACAGAACATCTGAAACATAAAAAAAAAACAGCAAAAGCCTCAACTTACCCTGTGGTTGTCCTCATAGTTATGCAGTTAATTAAGGTCATTTTTAATTAAAATGTATTTATATCAAATAGTGCATTGAGACATAAAAGTGTCAAACTTTGATATCCACGTTCAAGAGTAATATAATTTTATTTGAGCCAAAACTATGTATTGATTTTATTTTGTACAATGTTAGTGAAGGTTATGAGTCCATTTTGTTATAGTAAAATAAAATCTACTGCAAATGCTTATATCAGACTTGAATGGTAGTGATGACTTTATCAAGGGAGTAAAACCACACTGGTGTAACCAAATCTAGTCCCAATTGATGTGTTGTGGGTTAAATTTAGCCTGAAGCCTTACACCATTCTGCTGCCCTTTATAGAACCTCGCTTTTTACACACTCACACCAGCAGGTTTGAATATTTACTGCATGCACTGTCACAAAAAGGGAAAACATTTTGCACTTATCAGGCCAAGTATGTGAAAGAACACAGAAAGTTTGCAACAGACTCCATTGTACTTTATTATGTTTGACAAGTCTTAGAAACAGCCAGCAAGTAGCCACACTCAAAACAAATAAGAAATAAAATTTAAATTCATTTTCAAATGATACATACATTTTTCATTGTACTAAAAATGTGGCTGTTACCACAAAATAGTGTTTTGTTGTTCCTCCGATTAGGTTTAAAAAGCTCACAGAGCTACACAGCTTACCCACAGAGTCTGGAAGTCAACAGTTCAGAGAAAAATATAGACACACTGGCATGAATTGTGGCGACAGATGTGAAAATAACTCTCTTAGTATGACAGAGTCATTAAGGCTGAGCCACACCAAATGGAGTGGGAGGTGACACAAAGAGCAAAGCTTGACACACCCAGTGACACGGGACGTCTGTTTGTAGCTGGAGGGACAGTGAGCAGGAGCTGTGGTGAAAGATGCTGGAGGAGATGGAGCTGAGCACCATTTTCACATGTGCTCATGTTTCTGTTCCTGTGGTTATGTTTTACATGGCCTTCACTTTGATCTGCTTCATCTTCATTTGCTTCTTCTCAATCTTCTTCTGCTCACGTCGCTGGGCAGCTTCCTGTAAACGACAATAAAATATAGAAATGATGCCAAATAAGTAAACAAATTGAGAACGAGAAACAAATAAAACTTATCTTTTCAAGTTCCTTGAAGTTCAAAGTTGTTCAGTTGAATTAACCGTAGTTGCCAACCTAGCTAACTTTAGCTGTGGTTTTTAGTTTCTTTGATACATTTTAACTTTATTTTAGCTAATTTTGAGGTATTTTGGTCCAGGTGATCCTTGGTATTTTAGGGAGATCTCTGCTATCTTCAAATCTTAAATCTTCATCAGTTTACCTTAAAGCTATTTCTCAGTTTACTTATTTTTTTTCATTAATCAACGGTTGTCTTACAGACCTCAAGACGGCGTTGTCTCTCGGGGTCCTCCTCATTCATGATCCTCTCCTTCTCTGCCCTCTTCTTCTCCTCCCTGCGGGTCTGGGCAGCCTCCTGGCGCTGAGCGTGAGTCTGTTTCAGAAAATTCTCCTCCACCCGGGCACGATTTTTGTCAGCTTTCTGTTTGCCCTAAAAATCAACACAAACATAAATAGTGATACAACACCTATCAAGGGGTGAAAAAAAATTGCATTTAAGTAAACGTCGCTCACCTCTCTGTTGAGACGGAGTTTTTTTACTTTGTCGATGCTGTAGATCACCATGTTCATGAGAGGAAGCAGAGAGTCCATGTCTCTAGGAGATGTGTTGCCCATTCCAGGCACTACACACAAAGTCACAGAGATACATAAGATTGCATATGACAGAAGAAACCAGATAAATAAAGCCTTTTGATTTAGACATAACAAAATGCTCACCATTAAATGTAAACAGCAGTGTCTTCTTGGTTTCAGGCAGCTTTAAGGGCTGGCCCTCCCTAAAAGAGAGCAAAGAAATTGTTTTACTCAAAAGAAAAAAATAAGCCTCCTTAAATCCTTGTAAGCAAAATATGTCAAACTTACTCTTGCATAACTTTTGGACCTGAAAACTGGTCCGAAAAATGGATGGACTCGATCTTATCAGCGTGGTTGGTAATATAATGTACCATCTATGAACAAATGCAAATTTTGATTATATTGTTTTGTTCAAAGGCTGACATCAAAAGACAAGTTAATGTGTATTAATGTATTGACAATTTAAATGAACGAGACAAGATTCAATGGTCACCTTGTTGTCCATCACTCCATCTGTGACCTCACCCATCTCGCTTAAAATAGCCAGTGATTCTGGGAGGCCATACTTGGCTCCAGATTTGGGCTTGTCACCACAGAACTCGCTCTATTAAAAACAAAGCAGGATTTACTGTAAAAACATCAGTGGGCAAAAAGTAATAAAAACACTTATAAAAACAGAGTTATAACAGAATATTTACCAGGTCCTGCATCTCCTTCTGAAGTCTGGCCATGGCCTTCTTCGTGCCCACAGCAAACACAAAAGTGTCCATGTCCTCATCATTCAAAGTCACTTTGATTTGCTGCAGACCAACAGGTAGATTTTTAGGTTTGTAAAAAAGGTTTATAACTGCAATTTGCTCTCATCCTGAAAAACGACTGACAATTTGCTCTCAAAAGCTAAAATGACTAGAACATACCACTTGGTCACATGCAGGCCTCATCATCCTGGCCAGAACATTCAGCAGGTCCTGTCGTTTCAGAAACTGTGGTAAAAGCATAAAAGTGAATCACCTCTTACTTCACATTAAAATGATGACAACTCTCAAAACATGGTAATGCACAGTCCAAACCTTGAGTTGTATTAGCATGCCTTCACAGCACACTCGTCCAGAACACCACAGGTTGTAGATGTGCTCATTTTCCTGGTTCAGTTTGCCAGTGCTCACTGCTTCTTTACTGGTGCCATCATCACCTAATAATGCAAAAGATAGAGACTTTACTCCACTTTACTCCTGCCATCATTTTTGCTCTGTGCTTATTGGCTAAACTACACACTAGTTACCACAAAGCACTCACCAACAAGGGCAAAGTTGCTCTCCAATAGTTCTTTATGCGAATTGAACCAGGCATGTGCCAAGCGGCTGTTTTTGTTCTTGCCAATGATGTAGTTCATGATGTAAGCCAACAGCCCTGTAACCATGAGGATCTCCATATAGTAACTCTCCCAGCTGTTCTGCAGATGTGCAGGAACCTGTAAAAACACAACAGTTTGTCTCAAGAAAAATGAAATGGGAAAAACTGCATCCTTAGATAGTAAAGTTCCCCATCAGGGCTGTCGATGTGAAGCAAAAGTCAAAGTAATATGACGACAATGACTTTTCTTTTACCATGTTTTCTGTCTTTATGTACTAACACAATAAAAACAAAATTAACTTTAAGAGTTTAAGAATCTTTTACAGCAGGTTTTTGTTGGTGAAAGTCTCATTCTCACCGTGTGGATTATAAGAGGGTCCTTCATGTGGCTCGTCTTCTCCATGTCTCCAATCCCCTCAAATTCTTCCTGGTCATATTTACTGTACATGTCCTGGTCCTGTAAAAACATTGAACGGGAATTATGTATGAATAAATACAGTATATATTTAACTTTAATGAAAAAGTCTTAAAACTTGAAAAACTTCTAGTAATAACAGAAAAAAAAATACAAATACAACAACACAAACAATGGACACGTGAAAAAGTCTTGTGTTAATTACAAAAATGAAACAACAGAAATCAGTCATTCTAAGACCTTCCCTGAGGTGTTGTAAAAGTACAGTAAAAGTACAGAAAGGGCCCTCTGACTTCAGATTAAAATGTAAAATAATACATTCTGCACATAAATAGATAATTTTCTTCAAAATGTCAAAGGTAACACAAAGACATACCTGTGTCTCAGAGTCCTCAAAACCGTCCTGACCGTCCTCCAACTCCACAGTGGCTTCGTCTTCATCTTCTTCCTCTTCAGGTTGTGAGGAGTGTGACACTCGAGGTGGAGGAGCTGTTTCTGCTTCAGCTACTGGATCCTCGTTATTATCTTCAAACTCTGCAAAGTCATTGTCATCAAAGTCAGCCAGGTCCTCGCCATCGTCAAAGTCATCATTGTATCGCCCTCTGGTTACAGGAAAGACCAGGACGAGCAGCAGAGCAGGAACCAGGAGGAGATGCAGGCTTCGCATGATGACACCTGCCTAAATGAGAAAAAAATAACAACAGGAAAAAAAGTACATTACAGCTTTCGGAAAGAATATTTCATTCAATTATCAAGAAATTAAACTATTATAAACATTTAATTCTGCCACATGTATATAAATAAACTTTAAAACCAATAGGCTACATTAAGAGAACAGATAAATTGAATAGGCTCCTCCTCCACTCGCCAACCTGACCTCATAAACAGTCCATTGTTTAAATGCTTACCCTTTTACTGACTGATTCAGAGACAATGTTGTCAGTATCAACAAAACTATACCCACTCACTCCCAACTTGGTTTTGTCTATTGAGCTACCTGTTTATGTTTTGTATTTTATTGCCATGAAAAGGACAGACTGGGTGGATAGGTGGAGGAAAACCTATTATTTAGACACTTTAAGAACATGTGAATTTTAACACAACAAATCACCAAAGTCACAACATCTGACAATTCACAATTAAAATACCAGGTGTAAATCTTCAATCAGAAGGTAACTTTTGCAAAATAATACAGTTTTAATGTCAGTGCAAAATTGTGTTTTTTTTTTTTTGGATAATCTTGCTAGCCTTAAATGAAAGGGGATTGGAATTTCACCACCTATGAGAACCAAGACCATCATAGTTATTCAGAGCCCTAAAAGACTATTTTTATTTACTATATAGATTATTTTACCTTTTCCAAATAAAGGTTTGAGAACATTTATTATTATCTAAAATGTAACAGTATTTAAAATACTTAGAGCAAAATACTCTTACAGAACAATGAAAAAAGGAAGTGAAATCACGAATTTGTCAACTTCTACATGTTGCAATTTACAGACTTTACTCAGTTGTAATTCAATTCGTCTACAAATCACACACCTAGCATCAATCGTACTGCTAGCATTTATCACTTAATTGTGTTAAAGTTATAGATAACTCGTTGTCTTTGGTGATAACGATTTAACCGTCCCCTAACAACCACAAACAATGATCTCACACTTTAACTAATGAACGAACCCCCATCGAGAATGATTTCTGTGGACTGAAACGGAGGAAAAGTTAAAGAAGCTCTGCTGCATCAGCAACAATACAACGCATTGACAAAAATTACACGTAAATTAGACAAGCTTTACTTTACCGTAAAAGTAGCGCAACAATTAATAATTAAGTTTCGACAATTTGATGACAAATTGTACCAGTTTCAATTTTGAGTGTGACGGCTAATCTGAGACTAAAATCCAGTTAATATTCCACCATCCACCCTAATGTCTAACTTTAGCCTACAGTCGGAAACGGATGCAGGTTTGACACGTTTTTAAATAGCTAGAGTGCGTTTTTATGTGTTATTTGAGTCAAGGCATTTTTGTAGACAATTAAACTAAAAAGGATTACATACTTAAGTCGTAATCATGTCAAAGACGAGAACAGACCCTTCCCCCAGCACCCAGTCACTTTCTGAGCTCTTAGCATGTCTGCCATTAGCATGCTAACGGTTGCTAAAATACATATAAAGCAACACATATATAATTATTATTCTAAAGCTGCCTTTCTGTCTCTTAAATACTAAATTAAATTTTTTATGTGTCACTTTTCTAAAAGAAAACTGTTATGTCGCCTTACCTTGAGGACTAGAACAGTAAACGTTACGCTGTCTGAGCTACAATATCCTGAACTGTCCTTGTCGATATTCGAACGGCAGAGCCTTTTCAAAATAAAGGTCTATCACAGGAAGGGTCACGTGACTGAAAACAACTATTAACTTTAGTTTTGTTTTGGAATACCTAAACAGGAAGTGTTATTTTGCTTGTTATGTAGCTTTATTGTTTATGTTCAACTGCATATAAAACACACACAAATTAATGATTATTAGCTTAATTGATATAATTGTGTGATTTATAATCTGAACATTATAATAAACTGATTGGGTAATGTATAATGTAATGTGCAAATTACAATTTCCCTGAGAACTAATCTGTTTGTTGGTGTACAAACCGATTTTGCTTTAATTTAAATAAGATCGAAACATTCTGTATATTTATCTTTTAGCGATACACACCATCAACTAAGAGCTTGGTTTGAGATTTGACCTAATTATAGACAAACACACAATGACAGAAACAAAATTACTAATTTGAGGTAAGAGAATTATTGTTAAGTTATCCCAACATCCCCAGTGTGAAAGAACAGTAATTAAAAATAAGTAAGTAAAAGTTCTTATAATGAGCTTGCCACTTAGATGCGTCTGTCAGATGCATGTATTTGCTTTTTTTTTAATCAAGTCATTTGATTTTATTTTGGAAAAACGGAACCACCGGAAATTATTTGTACCAGGTTGAAATTGATAGATCCGTGGACCATAACGAAGCAATGGAACTCTTTGTTGAGTAAAGTGGTGCGAAATCCCATTTTAGACCGAATTTTGTAGAATCAAGTGTACATCGTCATAGCGCGTATTGTAACCTGCTGATTTTATTTACAATAGCAGCTATCGTTTTGCCTTTGGCTCAATTTGTTCAGTAGTTAGCTAACGCTATCGGGTTAGCTGCAGTTCGGGGAGGATGTCGCTTCACGGCAAAAGAAAAGAAATCTATAAATACGAGGCGCCATGGACGGTGTACGCCATGAACTGGAGCGTACGGCCAGACAAGCGCTTTCGACTGGCACTGGGCAGCTTTGTGGAAGAGTATAACAACAAGGTAAGAAGCGACTGGGTGTGGAAAATTTAATGAAAACAAGCAAAAGACGAAAAGGCTGAAGCTAATGCTAAGGCTAGTCGTCCTGCGCCACACTGATACCAGATACAAAGCCATTATTTGAAAATTTACATCCTTGATTACATGTAGGGTTCAGCACAATGTGGGGTAATTGCTTTAATACAACCAAATCACTTCAGCCCTGTCAGTTTAAGTAGTTTATTATCACAGAAATAGGAATATTAGCACTATTTATATAAGTTATTAGAGTGGACCGTTCTGGTGATTTGATTTAAAATAAAAGCCTTTCGTTGATTCATAAACTTGTCATTTAGATCTTTTATATTTTAGCTTTTTTCCATTCACAGGATTAGACATTATTTACAATTTCCTTTGTAAACTTTTAATATAGTACCCAAAACGTTGAAAAACATGCTGTCAGTTTGAATAAAATACTTGTACTGTATCAGACTCAAGCTATTTTTCATTTCTTATATTTTGCGATCTAAGGCACAGATATAATATTGTGAGTTTGTATATTAATATTTTGTATAATTACACCGAAGATCATTAAGTGACCTGCAGTTAACGTACATTTAATGTGAGTAGTCTACTCTTTTGAAGGAAAACACTCTCAGTAGCCTTATTTACCGATTATTCTGTTTTATTCCTTGCTCCATGTCTTTTGGCTCTTGGTTTAATCTCTGTATATTTTTTCCTCCCAAACAGGTCCAGCTGGTGGGTCTGGAAGAGGAGAGCTCAGAATTTGTCTGCAGAAACACATTTGACCATCCCTACCCCACCACTAAGATCATGTGGATCCCTGACACAAAGGGTGTATACCCAGACCTGCTGGCCACCAGCGGAGACTATCTGCGCATTTGGAGGGTAATTATAATAGGCAGCTGTAATAATTTTTTCTAATTAACTTAATAGTATTATCTATTTTATTGCAGTTAATCAAAGTAGGGTGCATTTTAAAAAAAACAATGTAAACTACAATATTTCAATTTAAAAAACAAACTTTTAGCAAGATGTTAAAAACTTAGCAAAAAAAACCCCACTATAAACATGATTATTAATATCTTAATGGTGACCAAATATATAAAGATAACCAAATGTGTGTGACATTGAAAAGGTCAATGTCTCTTGTCAAATGTTGAGTAACTTCCATCCATGTTAAAAAAATCCTGTTGCTGGGAATACTCAGTGGAGAAAGTTCACTGCTAAAAATAGTCCCAAGCAATTGTACTCTGGATTAAATCTAGCACATTCTCAGCCTTATTTTTCACCTTTGAAAGTCCTTGCAGAGAACAGTTTCCACAGCAGCAGAAGAAACATCTTCAGCTGAAGAAAAAGTTTTGTGGTTTCATAGTGAACATTAGTAAACTTTTTTTTAGCTTAGTTGCAGATTTAGCCTATGGTAAATGTATTAAACGGCAACATAGGATAAAAGCCACAACATTATATTTGACTAAATTTCTTTGCAGGTCAGCGACACAGAAACACGCCTTGAGTGTTTGTTGAATAACAATAAGAACTCTGACTTCTGCGCGCCACTCACCTCCTTCGACTGGAATGAAGTTGATCCCAATCTGCTTGGTATGAAACTTCTTGCACTGTTGGCATGTGAAATGGACTCAGTTGTTCCTTTGTAGGTGCAGCATATGTTTTAACAGGTAGATTTGTTCTGCAGGTACGTCCAGCATTGACACCACCTGTACCATCTGGGGCTTGGAGACTGGCCAGGTGCTGGGACGAGTAAACCTGGTCTCTGGACATGTGAAGACCCAGTTGATCGCTCATGACAAGGAGGTTTGTTCTTGCCTGCACCTGTAGAATGAAAATGTGGTTTCGTGTACAGATTAAAGAAATACTGACTTTTATGCATCTGTGTCTTTAGGTGTATGACATCGCCTTCAGCCGTGCAGGAGGTGGCAGAGACATGTTTGCATCTGTGGGAGCTGACGGGTCTGTGCGCATGTTTGACCTCAGGCACCTAGAACACAGCACCATCATTTATGAAGACCCCCAACACCACCCACTTCTCCGTCTTTGCTGGAACAAGCAGGATCCCAACTATTTGGCTACAATGGCCATGGACGGCATGGAGGTGAGTGCAGTGGAAAGTCTTCTTTCTTCTTGGCCTGGAAGTATTAAACTGGAAGTATCCATCAGTAGATTAGTACTGTGTCCACTCTCTAATCTCTCACTGATGTTTTGATGTGTGACAGGTGGTCATCCTAGATGTACGTGTTCCTTGCACACCGGTGGCTCGGCTGAACAACCACCGTGCGTGCGTTAACGGAATCGCCTGGGCTCCTCACTCTTCATGTCACATCTGCACCGCAGGTAAGCAGACACGTGGGCTCAAAGATACGATGGCACCGGGCAACAATTTGGTGGAGCTGGAGCAAGTCAGCCACAAAGTTAAACTCATGAAGTCCGGCACCTGCAAACAGTCTTTAGCTATCATCGTCCAATGAGTTTTAAAGATGTTTTTTCTTTTCTCTTTGTCTCACAATCTTTTCTTCCCTCAGCCGACGACCACCAGGCTCTGATCTGGGACATCCAACAGATGCCACGGGCCATTGAGGATCCCATCCTCGCGTACACAGCAGAAGGGGAGATCAACAACGTGCAGTGGGCATCCACACAGCCGGACTGGATCGCCATCTGCTACAACAACTGCCTAGAGATCCTCCGTGTCTGAACTGCAGACATTTACTGTACATGTGAAGGAGTTTTTTTTAATTTCAGATTTGTACTTGTATTTTTTTTTCTTCCATATTCCTCATTGTTAATACCAGGACGGGGCTGTGACTGAACTGTGTGAATGTGTTTGGGAAAAATCAAGTACCCACTCAACATTCACGTTTTACATTTTCTTCCACGGTACTCCGTTTTTTCTCGATTAAACATCTTTGAGCTCTTATTTATTTGCTCGTAAGGTAGAGTTTATCAGTGCAGCAGCAGTCAGAAGGTTCTGAACCGTCATCTTTGATGGAGACACTTGTGTTTTTTGGTGTGCGATTTTGCGCAAGGAGAAATAATCCTTTAAATGTCAATTGTTGAATCTGTTTAACAAACCAACATCCAACAACAGCAGTGGCAGATAAACCTTTATCGACAGATATACTACAGACCATGTCGGCGCCTTCTTGTGAACTGCTGCCGAATCAACAATTAGTATATTATAATGCAGTCATTTTAAAAATTTCGAATGCATTTGAACTCCGTAGTCACTCTAGACACTCCTGTGTAAATGTACATACGTCGTCACATGGTGTGTTGATGTGTAGCTGCAGAAGCGGTGAGGCAGATGCGCGACAGTGAGAACCTACCAGAGCGATGCTGTTCAGCTCCTTCCTTCTTTTTCATTGACTTGTTTCTGTCAGTGTTTGAAACCTGTGTTAGAGTGAGATGTCAGATGAGAGGGTGGAACATCTTTGTGTGTGTGTGTATGCAGGTGTGTGTGTGTGGTCGCCTCTCTTTGCTGTTTTCCATTACTTAAAGGGTCACGTCCTTGTAGCATGCCATTACAAGGCATAATGTACATACATATAAATATATGAATGATGTTGGTAAACCAAGTGTTGTTGTAGTAGCTTTTTTCATAAAGTTTATTAATGAATTTGCTCTAATAAATTGTATTACTCTGTGTGTTAGAAGCAAACCAAGTTTCTGTGTTTTTCATTGCTCAGGTTAATCACTGACTTCAGTCCAAACTTTTCTTATTTGTCCTACTGTTAAAAACTTTAAAGTTAAAGTTTGCATTATACTACAAATTACACCATGCAGGATCTCAGTTTCTGACCTCAAACTTGTGAAAGCACAACATACAGCGCAAGCACAACATACAGAAACCTGACTGCTTTAAGAAATAACTGGACGCTAGGACCTGCTTGAATCTATTTTGACAAAACTTATTGTCAGGACAGGCTTCGTAGCCATAGTCTTAGTAACTGGTTTGTGTCCAGATCTGCCTTTAGTGGAAATCAAATTATTATGCCCAGTCTTTTCGTATGTATTTTACATGCTCTCCCTGTAGGTGTGCAGGTTTTAGTCTAAATTGACCACAGATGGGAGGGTGAAAGGTTGAAGTTCAACTTTTTTGGAAATGGGTTATGTAACCAGAAACAGTACTGAAGAAGAGTTCCTTTGTTGAATGTAGTTAGAAAATACTTAATAAGGGGAAAATAGAAAATAAATGGTGGAAAACCCTACAAATGTGTTGTTTAATTTCTATAAATATTGTGTTATAATTACCTGGACAGGGCGTTGAAGTGAATGACTGCATGAACTTCACTCCAGCTATTCATTTCCTCTTGTCAGCAGTATTTTATCTGCTAAGAGAACATCATCTTTGCTCCTGAAATGTCTCAAAACACAATCTCCAACATCACACACAAACTTTCTCTTCCTGTGGTTTTATAGCCATAGTATGATTACAAACAAGCCACAGTTGTGTCACTCAGCTGCTTTCATCATCATCCACTTCCACCTCTGAATGAGTGACGGTCACACCCATCATTACAATGCTGCATGTCACCGTTATTTGACACAATTAGAAAAATGATTCCAGTGTTAGATTGCTGTGTCTTTAATCTTAAAAAGATAAACAACGGGAGTTTGTGCTTTGAGAAACATTATACAGTAGTGAAAATGTTCAAAAACATGGTACATTCACCTCATGGCTGAAAATGTGGAAATATCTTAACAGAGAATGAGTTTCTGTTTCTGTATGTGAGCAACAGTGACACACACACAGACACTCAGGAGTGTCGTGGTCCTGTATCCACTGGAGACAAAGAAGTCAACAACGGCTTTTCTGAGTTTGGCACAACATATTTGTCCCATCTGAGCAGAAAAGACACAGCGGAGCAAACAGGTGACCCTCAACAAACAGACATGACCTGAGCTGAAGGTCACACTCTGTAATAATCAAAGGTCACACTGTTGATTGATGAAATGACACAGGATAAAAACTGAATTTTCTATTTGAATAGACACTGCCTTCTGTCCTACAGCTACCATTGTTCTTCTTGTACAGTATTAATCCCAAACACAGACCTTGACAATCTGTAACTTTTCCCACTCACCGTCACGCAGCCTGGCTCCAGCTGCAACAGAGGTGCACTTCAAACCGACTCAAATAATTTATTAGTCTTAACTGTGCTGCTCTGTAACAAAGTGAACATAAATAATTCTTCACACGTGACACACATTAGTAGTACTTGACATTTGACCTCGGCTTAAAAAATCTCATTCTATAAATATTCTATGGCCTTGTGTTTTGTTTTAAAGATTCTGTGTTTGCTTTTAACACTTTTCACATTTTTCCACCAAATGTAGCAGGAATATTTTTTTCAGGATACTGAAGTCCAGCAGCCTGTGAGGGCGCTGCTGAGTCAAGACTGGAGAAGACCGTACTCCCATGTTACTCAGCAGCATACGTATGAACAGAAGAGGGGGGATTTCAACAGTGGGAGGAACAACGTGACAACCTAGAGAACATATGGACACACCGTCTGAAGAATCAGAATTTGGGATAAAGACTGATACTTTAGGTTCCAGGCAAGACCGGGTCAGAGATGTGCCTCTGAATCTCCTGCATGTCAGTGGGGGTCTCCAGGTTCTCAGGGAGGGAGGGGAAACGCGGGTTCCCACCTAACAGTCCAACAGGCTCATAAGCCTCTAACATTTGAGAAGGGGTGAGGGCCACAGGTGGCAGGTGGGGAGGGTCTGCCTCCACTGACATTGACTTGGTGTCATCTGAGGCCACAGTGAGATGGATCCTGTCGGACAGAGAGTCCTTGGGTTTGTGCTTGAAGTCAGAGTTGGGCGTCTGGAAAGAGAAGGGCAGATTTGTTGAGCATCTGTGGTTCAGAAGAAAAAAAATGGCGTTACATGTTTAGCCAATATAATATCAACTTCACTGCTAGTGTTTTTGTAGTATCGGGTCAATATATTTGTTGTACCTGTGTCCACTTAACAAAACGGTAACAAAAGAAATATAATTGGATAAAGTATTAAAAAATTTAAAAAATGTTGGTTTTTATGAAGAAAATGTATTATAAAATGTATAATTGCAACTGTAAAATTATT